TGGATTTCTAAAAGTACACACAAATTAATGAATTGAATCCTAAATTTACAAATTAAATCAAGATCAATCATACATACMTGAGATTCAATGAGTTGCAAATATCTTTGCGCACAATTGGAGTAGCAGTGGCTGTTAATGCCATGATCGGGACATTGGGTAGTATGGTGCGTAATTTCCCTAAATTCCTGATATAAATATATAGATTACTTAATAAGCAGTTAGGTAGAATATATATTTCCACAAACCTATAAGAAGATCGGAAATCAAAACCCCACTGACTCACACAATGTGCTTCATCAATAGCTACAGCAACTATTTTGATTTTTGTTTGTAAATCTTGTAAAATCTGTTTTGCTGAATCAGTGGCTACCCACTCTGGAGTTATATACAACACTCTAACTTCTCCGGAAAAAAGACTATTCAAAGCATCTGCCTTAGATKTTTGAGCTGAGCCTAGCAGACATGCTTTTATATTAGCCATCTAAAAAACAGTAAATAACTTGTAGGTAGGTAGGTAAAATAAAAAAAATAAACAAATCCAATCCAAACCTCCAGAGAAAGTACTTGATCCTTCATTAATGATATTAATGGGGAAACAACTATGGTTAAGCCTTTGCTATAAACTGCCGGATACTGATAACAAAGACTTTTCCCATAACCAGTAGACATGACCACACATGCATCTCTTTTTTGCTGAAAAATAAATATACATAAGTATAGGTACCTACAAAAAAACAGAAACTAGGAGWGTCGATCAAGACGTCTTACTTCTAAAACTGAATATATGATCTCCCATTGCATGGACCGAAATGTAGAATGTCCAAAATATTTTCTAAGTGCAGCTATGTGCAGCAAGCTAGGTTCAGTTGAAGACATTTTAAACTTAAAAAAAACGAATTTAAATTATTAAACTATTTACAATGCATGTACATTAAAGGTACAGAAACAATCAATTATCGTGAATATAGTATTTTTAGAAAACGAAAGTCAAGGAGTGAATACGTCAATCAGATAGTGGTTTTGCTAATAATCATGACAAAATAAATAAATAAATAAATAAATATTATTTTGTCATGCTAATAATTAGCTTTTGAGTTTTTTTTATTTAAATTTGAACCTTCAATGTTCATTCAAAAACTTCAAAACCTCTTATCACCATTATTGATAAAGATTTGTCGTTGAAACCATAGATAATRTATATTATCTATGGTTGAAACTTGACCACGGAATATTATACACTTTACCGGGCGCTATATTTTTGAATTTTTTTTTATCTCGTTTGTAGTACCTACTGTACCTAGCATAAGGATTAAGTGTTCGAAGGTGGACCGTTGGGGTGATTTGTATTCAGACTTCAGGGATTAATAACTTGAGGTGGTTAAAATGTTTTGCTATAACAAAATTGAATAAGTAGTAGGTACGTATTTGTTGCTGTAGTCCGTGAACCTAGAATGTAACCTTAATATTATAAAGCCTTGTGGTAGGTATTTAAATTGTTGTACTATTTTTATACTAACTAGCAAATAGTTATGTCGTTTACAATTTATGACCTTTTTTATACAGTCTATATTCTTTAACACAAAATCAAAATTTCTTTTTTATGTTATCGATGGACGATGACTTCATCTGGGGTTAATTAATAACGTGCAAATAACCTGTAAACTGACATTTTCAGTTTTAATTTTTGTTTTTTTTCTATATATATAAATAAAACTTTTTTTTTCAGTCAAAAAATTTAATATAAGATTTCAGATATTGCAGATATATCATAATAATGACAGTTAAAAAACATTAAAAACAAATTCAACATTTTTTTATAGGCATTGAGTTCAAATTTGTATTAAATTGAAAACTTACAAATTATTTTGTTAATTTTAAAATATTATTTATGGGTTGAAACTTAGAAAGTATACAATTAAATATTTATACATACAAGTCACACTAATTGAACATACTGGCTAGAGTAGTAATAATGATATAAATAGAATATAAAATATCCAAGGTCGACGTCCTCAAAATTGTTTTCACATACAATATTAATTTATAAAAATAAATTTWATCTAATATCATCAATTACACTGACCCACTTGTAAACTAAAATACTGTACAGCAGAACTTCACCCGCTTACCCGCTTTTTTCTTATGATTATATAAACATGAACTCTGATACAACCATAGAGGAACATTTAAAATACTGTATATATTATCTTAAATGTTGATATAATATTATTAATATTTTTTATATAATCGTTCATACAAAAAATGTTTTAGAACAGAAAATATTTTTATAAATTGAAGTATTAACTTTCATTTTAAACATAAAACATCAATAACAAAAAATATAAGCTTATTGTTGATTTAAAAAGGTGCATATTATATAAAATGTTAATTGAAACTTAAATATTTATAAATTGTGTGATTGCATATTGATTGTTATTTTAATGAATTTAATGGCACTAAAATGGATATTCATTGTTATATTTATTTTTAAATTAAAAAAGCGGGTAAGTTGTTGATGTCGCTCTGCTGTACAGTAGGTTACTGTAATGGATGGAATCAAATTTGAACCCAATGATATTACATTATCATTGTATACAAAAAACAATTCGGAACGGAGRCGGTTTATCTGTCTAGGATATAATATAGATCATTGAAAATTTTCAAACCTTAGATTAAAAAGAAAWTTTTTTATGAATTTCTAGCTTAAAGTAATTTGCGAATTTCTGTGATTTTTACGTATTTTGTTAAAATTCAAACTTTGAATGCTTATAAAAAAAAATTGTGACTGTATTTCTTATATTTTTCAACTGCTATTGTAAACTATGTTAGGAGCTTTGTATTAAATTTTCAAGCWTTTMTACCCGACAAATAAATTTTTATCGATATTMATTTAAAAAAAACTAATAATGATCGAAAATTACAGTTGCCTATTAATAGTTCAAACTGAGTCAAAATTTTTTGAAAATACCGTTTTTCCTTAATTTTCAGTTTGTTTATTCAAATTATTTTTAAAAAATATTGAGAATTTTTTTACTTTAGATTCCCCAAAGTACCAATTACATTCACTCTCTGATCAAACGAGGTACTGAAGTCGAAAATCAAAGTACTTTTAATGCCCCAAAACGTGATGACAGACAAAAAAAAATAAAAACATCATGGTTAAATCAAAACATTCCTYGCTCCACTTAGAATCTAAAATATCCGTGAAAAGTTGCAAGATTAAAATAAATGTACAAAATATAAGTTTTACAAGTTATTTTATATAATTAATTATATAAACATGTGAATCAAATAATAAATGCATTAATGTAATACTAAAAATGAACACATCATTTGAAACCATAATTTTTAATTATGGCAATACAATAAAAAAATTGTCACTACTTTCAAATAAAAATACTAAAAACTTAGCTCAAGCATATTACATATTTTAATAGTACACTTGATAATGTCAATAACCAGTGAAAAATAAAATGTATTACATTTTTCTTATCATACACAAAATAAATACTAATAGTAGTATCAAAAAATATGAGCACATAAAAAAATAATTTAAATTGAGTCTTTGTGATTATTTGATGGGTAAAAAATGTACACAAAATCTGATATTTCCAATAGTACACACTAATTCATATAACAAAACTCATTAATACGTGGACCACCTATGTATAAATGTATAAATAGATTATTAATATAATATGCAAACTTAAAATAAATTAAAATATAAGTTTATGAGTTTTAGATTAAAATGATGATGGCTTGTTGTAATATGTAGTTAAATTTAATTAATGACAACTTTATTTTGTCTTTTAATTGCTTATGTGATAAGTTATACAATGAATAATAATAAAAAAAAAATTATAAATATATATTTGAACTAGATGGGAGAGATCAATAAATCACAAAACAAAATACCTACTAGTTTCTAGTTAAATTATAAAGCAAGTACAACATTATTCAGTTCCCAAGATCAAATTTATATGTTAATACATAAATATAAAAAAATCAGATTTACAATTTTAATTTTGAGTTGTAAAGTATTAAAATTGCATATCATTAGAATTAATGCAATAACGGTACATTGAGAAATAATTAAAATATTGTCCATTGTCCTCCAAATAAAAATTGTTATAACAAAAGGAAAAAAAATACTATATGTAGTATAACATGTAATAAAAAAACTAAAAGTAAGAAAATTATAATAAATGTGCTAAACTCAGAAGCAACAAAATCCTATTAATTACATAATGCATTTTAGAAAAAAAAAAATGTTACTAAATATTTCTTTTAAGTATATACTAAATGCGGCAATATCACTTTTTCACTTATTTTATACATTGTATTTATATATAAAAAAAAAAAAAAAAAAAACATAAATAATATTTAACATTTAATTTATGAAAGACATACATAACGGGCAGTTTTAATGCCTGATTAACAGTAATAAATAAAATGTTTAAAATACTTTAAACTTAAAAAAAGAAGTTTTAATTAATAATATGAGCAAATAACTCTTGGTTATATATCTAAATAATAAGTAAATAATTGAAGTATTCTTAATGTTCTTATTTTTAACAGATATATWTTTTTTTTAMATATAAATTTTTGTCAATTAAAATTTGAAAATATTTCAATCAGAAATAAATAATATATAAAGGAAATCATAATGTAGATCAGAAAAATTGTTAAATTAATTTTATTTAATTGTACAGGTTTGTTAAAAATATTGAGATTATTAAAGCAAAATGAAGAATACGTTAATTATCATTGATAAATAACAATAAAAGTTTAACAAAAACACAATACCAAAAAATATGAGGATTTTTTTTAAAATTGATTCAGTCTTAAAGACATTTCGGTATCACAAAATTTAGAATTCTCATAATTTTAATTTTGAACACTTATGTGGGCACTAAAACTTATTAAACTATATAATTTCACACTGGTAAAATACATTACTGGTACACTTAATAGTTGTTGTARATTTTGTCTTTTTTTTGCATTTTCTGGCTTCGAGTATAATTGTAAGGCACTCAGATAATGACTGTTAACAAAAATTTCAAAGCTAACAATATAATTCTGTCAGAACTCATAAGTTTTTATGTTTTAAATTAGTTTAATCCAGTACCTACTTATACATAAAAAATATGATAATAATGTATTAGTTGTTTTGAATAGATAGTAGAACAACACCTTAACCACCAATGTAAAAATTACTGAAGGAATACAGTAAATTAGTATTTGGATTTAGATCATAATAAATATGAATTTACTTCGTGCATCTAAGGTAAAATAGACTTAACTCACTTAATAGGCTAGTCTTTGGATAGCAAAGAAATTTATATAGCAACATTTTTCTTGTACTTAAAATCATTGAGTATGAAGTACACAAATGTATTTTGCATAAATAATCATGAATCAAATTAAATGTATAGATTATTTAGATAATTTACAAATTACTGTATCTAAGGTGAAATAGACTTAAATCAAATAATGAGTTTGTCTTTGGATAACAAAGACATTTTTATAGCAAAATTTTTCTTGTACTTCAACCATAGA